CCAAATTTTTATATTTAGAAAGAAAAAAAAAATTTACACTTGTAAAAATGCACTATAAGATTTTAAAGTGCTAATAAAAGTAATTTTTTTAAAATATATAAAATTATTACATATAAATATAAGATACCAAAAAATTTTGGGAGCCCTTCAAATTTTGAGGCCATGTGCGATTGTACCTTTTGCTCCCCTTTAGCACCGCCTCTGACGATAAGGTTCTTAACCGGTTACCCAACAACAATCCGACTTGTTAGAGGACTCTTAACGGGTGATCCTACGATGACCCGACTCATTAAGCGTGTATCCATAACCTATTATTTTTGTCTTAGGTTAACAGATCGTGCAAAAAGTTGTCATGCCTACATATGATGGCATGCTGAATGAAGATGGTGATTATCTCCGTATGTGGTACCTTTTCTACTGCTGGAACCTGGAAGCTAACTTTCTTCGTGCAAACTCTTACTATGGTTGCTATATATATTCTTGAAGGGGGAGAAATGACCCGCGTAGAACTCCTGCTGAAAACATTAATCTTCCACTGGCCCCTTTGTCGAGATTTGATCTTTTATGGTTAATCCTGGATCGAGCAGATATGGATAGTAATCTTGAGATGGCTAGGCATGTTGTCTATCTTCACCAGAATAAAGAATCTCGGGCTCTTGGTTTCACTCCACTTGAGCCATCTGTTATTCGGTAAATTTTGCAGCACTTTTACCTTGGAAGGCTCAGCAGTACTGATTTCAGGATATTCTCCTTTTGTTTTAGTCTTTCTGTTGATCACTTCTATATACAAACGAGTATAAGTTCTCTGTATAGAACTTCCGATTTGTAAAACTACTAAATCCTTATTTTCAAGTCAGCTGATTGTGGGATTTTCTGATAAGATAATTTCTCTTACTAATTTTCTTTCAGGGCATATATTTCTGCGTGAGAAGATCGTCTCCTTCAGTCCCACAGGAAATTGAGGACCAGTTAAAACTATGATACATGTTCAATAATGATTTATTTCTAAAAAAGAAAGAAGAAGTTAAAACAATGATTGGCACTAGTTAAGCAGTTATGATACCCTTACTAATTTGCCGTAATTAAAATCAAAACGGTAAAATACAAAAAACTATTTCAACTATTAATGTCACGACATTTTCGTACTTTATCTTTTAAAATTGACAATGTCATACCTCATCTTACGAATTTGTGCCAATGTTATACCTTCCGTTAGCTTGGCGTGAATTTCTCAGTTAAATGCTGATGTGACTTGATCCAAGGCCCATTTTCTATTAAAAAGTTATTAAAAACTAAAAAAAATCATTTAATATTTTTTAAATATTAAAATAATAAAAAAAGTTATAAAAAAATTTAAAAAAAAAAAAAAAACAACACTCAGTTCGTTCCCTTCCTTGTTTCTGCAACTGCAACCCTGAAAAAGAAGAGAAAAAAAAAACCAATTTGTCTTCCCCGCTCCCCACCCCTACCTCTCCCTGCACCCAACCTCCCCATCTTCGCACCCTACCCTCTACACCTAACCTCGCACCCACTACCTGCAACCCAAAAAAAAAAAAAAAAAAAAAAAAAAGCCCAGATCCCGTGGAGGTGGAATCGGGAAACCTTCACCAGGCCGATTCCGAAGGTTGAGAACCTAGGCGTCCAGAAAATGGGGGGAATGGGTGTGGAGGGAAGAGGGTGGGTGTCCGCCGGGGGGGGGGGGGGCGGACGAACTGGGTTTCCTTTTTTTTTTTTTTTTTCCTTCTCTCTCTTCTTCTGCAGGTTGGGTGGGGGGACGGACAAACTGGGCTTTTTTTTGTTGGGTTGTAGGTAATGAGTGCGAGGGTGGGTGCGGATTTAGGGAAGACGGGAGGGGGGAATAAAGGAAGGGGGTCGGGCAAAATCGCAAGTGAGGGGGGGAAGATAAATTGGATTTTTTTTTTCTTCTTTTTTCTGGGTTGCAGGAAGGGCGCTAGAAGGGAAAGAAGATGAAGATGGGGGAGAAGAGAGACGGGGGGGGGGTGGGGAAAGGGAACGTGAGGGTTTTTTTTTTTTTTTTTTTTTAATTTTAATTTTTTACTTTTTTTTTATTATTTTAATATTTAAATAATTATTAAATAATTTTTTTTTGTTTTTAATAATATTTTATTAATTTTTTAATAGAATATGGGTCCATATCAAGCTACGTCAGCATTTAACTGAAAAATAAACGGCCAAGCTAATAGAAGGTATAACATTGACACAAATTCTAAAGATGAGGTATGACATTGTCAATTTTAAAAGATAAGATATGAAAGTGTCATGACATCAATAATTGAGGTAGTTTTTTGTATTTTACCCAAATCAAAATCATGAGTTGGTTCCGAATTGTTTGTGTAATCAAAGAACTAAGAAAAATTTAACAATGTTCTGCCCTTGAAAAATAATTGTTGCCGGTCCTTTGGCAATTACACTAGAACATACTAGCAGCTAGCCACCCGCCATATCCCAATCCATCCCAGCATCACTTTTCACTACTAGTCAACTTTCCAAACGACGAACTCTACGGGGTAGGATTCTCTTAATTCTTCATTTCTCTCTCCTTCCATCATATTTTATTTAAACGGTTACAATTACGCTATATCTATATCTTGTTTTGAATTTTTTATATAGAGAATAAGACAAAAAAAAAAGATTGTGAGAGGAGGGGAAAGATTCTTACTCCCAACTCTACGCAACATTTTTGTATGATTCAACGGTTATCAAATGCCAAAAGAAGAGAAAAATTAATATCGCCTTGCATAACTTCATGACATTTAAAAATAATTAAAATCTAGATGCTGGAGAAACAATAGCGAATATGAACAAAACCAAATTGAAGGAACCGTTTGGAAACTATTTGATTTTTAATTTGTAATTTTTTTTGTTTTTGTTTTTTGTTTTTTTGTGCTTGAGAGAGATAGCGGAAACGCATAAAAGTTTCCTTTGTTTTATATTGATTGAAGCCAACCAGTAACCATTGCTCCTCTACTAAAACTCAACAAGGTCAAAAAGTTACAACCTATGTCAACCAGCGGATATCATAAGGGGTTTGCTATTCACACATTCATTTTTATTTTTTACTCATTTTTATTAATTTTTGTCCATTAATATTCTTTAATTCATTCAATCTGATGCCTGAAAATTTAGATGAGTGTATGAGAGGAAAAATGTGAAATCTCGTCCCCGAATTCCATTATTTAATTACGTACTTCGTATTTACGCGATTTTTATTTTTATCTTAATTTGCTGATTATTGATTAGAGTTTAGTGTATATATAACATGATTTTGGACACTTCCTGTCCAACATGCATAGTTTTATGTGTTTGTACAGTCGAATTATGATGCAGGATACTAGATACGTGTCTAAAATCCTACGTATCGGATGTGAAGATGTTTTTCTCATTGGGTGTGAACTAGAGGTAAGGCGAGGAACATGTATAGTTTTGTGTGTTTGTACCGTCGAATTAAGATGCAGGATATGTGAAGATGTTTTTCTCATTGGGGGTGAACTAGAGGTAAGGCGAACAATGCATGCATCTTAGATCTCACTTAAATTAGACCTCATACCTTTCATCATTTATCATATTGTTGATCGAAAAGAAGAGGAAACAAAAATATCTCATTCTCATAAATTCAGTTTGACAAAGCTTAAACTCATATCGTTGTGGGAAAAAAAAAATATTCACATTAAGGTACTAAAGTATATGCAGGCCTCATTTTATTTCTGCCTTAGGCCTCAGTTTGCATTGAAATGACTTTGGTGTGGAGAAATAATTCAACCTCGCTAAAAGATCTTTACGTATTCACTTTTGATTATCTTATGCATCACCACCACCACCACATCTATTATACTCGTAACATGCCCGACCAAGTTCAGTTTCGAACCACTATTAGACCAGACATTGCAATGTTTACAGTTTCTCAAGAAACATGCATGTTTAGTAATCCACGGAAATGATAATAAAAATAAGGAATTGGTTATTTGTATGGGTAATGATAAAAGGATCAAATTTTTTAAACTAAATTTGCAGAGTAAATGATATGATTGTAGATAATTGAATTATTAGTTGAGTTTTGATTAACGTGCGTGTTTCTTATTGATGACATATAATTTAGTTTGTAAATTTAATATCTCTAACGCTATTCTTTTTTAACACGTACTATAATTATAACTATTCATGTATGAATAAGGCACACTAACTACGAAGAAGTTGAAAAAGGACTAGGGCCCACACAAAATAAGAAATTGATATGCTGATAAGGGGTTTGAAGTAGGTGGCGGGTATTTTCTATGGCCATAGGATCTCAAATTATTATCTATTCTAAAGTTAGAGGGGAATTGGCCTGTTCATGGCTACAGTCAAGAAAATGCCACTCGATTTCACTTTATTTACAAAAATGCCAGCCAAATTAGGCTGGAATGGGAGGGTAATTCTCAAAAGTTCAGAAGGTGATTTTGTCCGTATGGTTTAGCACGGAACCACTCGATTTCATGCTATTTACAACAATACCAGGCAGATGGGGCTGGGTTGGGATGGTAATTTTGTCCGTTTGGTTTGGCACGGATTGCTGGGTTAGAAGCGTGCGCTCTCCTCCCATCTCTCACTCTTCCTCACTCGCTCCTACTCAAACCCTAGCAGCCACAACACCATTTCTGGAATAGCATCGGCTCCTGCTTCCTAAAACCAAAACCACACAAACTGCCCTCCATTTCTGTAACTCGAGAGCTTCGGTGAGATGAAGGAGAAGAGCAGGGAGATGGGCTCGAGTCCGCCAACGGCGGAAGAGATCTTCAGGGATTATTGTGCTCTGAGAACCGACGTCGTCCACTCTTTAACTAACGGTACTTCGATCTCTCTCTCTCTCTCTCTCTCTCTCTATTCTCCCTTTTGCGTGTCGGATGAGTGGCTGGATTTCGAAAGCTAAGTTCCATTTTTTATTGGATTCATTACTGTTAGCATAGATTGTCATCATTTCAGCCCTTTTGCTGTGAATTATTTCCGGATTTTGTTGCACTGTTAGGTCAAGTTGTGGGGGTTCCTTTATTTATTTCGTTTTCTGTCATTTTCTCTCATTTTGGGGATGCATCTCTCTGTTCTGTGTATTGTTCTTTGTTTTAAGGTTTCTTCTTTTCTTTTTTTTGTTTTTTTGGGTTTTTTTTTGTGGGCTTTCAGTGAGTTGATATTTTCATTTTCCATTTTGCTGTGAATTTTCTTCAATTTGATCGAACATCTCGATACGAACAGTTGATTTTCAATTTATCTTTAATTTTCTAGAGGCCTGTTGGTTGCATGTACAAGAAATACTTTTATATTATGTTTCAATTTCAAAGTTGTTTGATATATGACCTTTAGTTTGTATTCTTATATGGAATTGTGCAAGGTTGCCACTCTTTGCCCCCTTTCGATTGTGATCGAGTTTATTGTTTTGTTCTTTCTTATTGTAAATGTCATTTTGTTTGTAAAGTTTAGTTTATAAACTGTACTTCTATTTACTCTTTGAATTTATTTTTTTGTTTATGTTGTCGTTTCTTGATTTTAGTTTCTGTGGATTTATATGGTTCTGATTACAGAAAGTATTGTCATTGGACAAAAACTCTTACAAGCAAGCTGCAAATCTGTTCAAAGAAACCAAGATCTGTTAATATCAAATACGTCAGCCATTGGCAATGGAATAGTATGTATTATTATTTCTCCATTCTATAGTCATATTAATAATCTTTTAGAATCCTTTTGCTGGAACACTTGCTTTAATCTGGATTTGGTCTAACTTAAATGCATTTCTATGTACTGCTTGAAGAAGCAAAACAATTATGGTTTGCTTTTGTTTTGTACTCGGGGTGTAAAGATAATTCTCTTCTAAGCAAGCTCGCTTATCTTTGAACTCTTTAACTGATTTGTGCCTGCAACAAGATTTTTTTCGGACTTTCTGCAGTGTATTTAACAGTATTAGGTCTCTGTCCTGCATGTCACTAGGTTTACTCATTTTTCAGTTCACATTGATCACGGATTTATAGTTGATTGCATTTCATTTTGACTTCTTTAAAAGGGGTTTTCATTAGCATGTCTGACATGATAAAATCGTGTCTTTTGGATTAATTCAAACAAAGTAAACATTTCATTCGTATTTGTGATCGTTGTTAATATTATAGTTACATGTCTACGTAAAAGGATTTCTTTTAATGAATAATCTGTTATTACCCTAAACAAGTTAACTTTGCTTAGAGTTTGCTGCTTAGTATGTTATGTTCCTAGGTAACATGCTTCTGAAATTAGGATTTGAACCTTCTGCTCCTCTGCTTTTTGATTTGTATATATGTCAAATTTCTCTCAATTGCTAATGGATTTATTTTCTTTTGAAATTTCAGAAAGTTGGGTCGTGGGAGGAAGAAGCTGGTTCGTTGCCATTTTTAGGTATACAATCATGTGCCCTGATAGCATATTCAAAGCCTATTTAGTTATATGGATTTTTTATTTATCTTTCTAAAACTTTTGTGCCTAGATTTTAAATATGTGATTGGTAATTTCTTAGCATGATAATTATCAAGCATATGATCGTTATTCATGAATACAAAACAATCCAAAACCTTCATTCACAAATCACAAGTATACGATGAGCTATTTAGAAGTTCGACATTTTCGTCATCCAATTCAATACCATTTGGGATACTATGCTAGAATTCTATTACAGGTCCAGTTAAGAGATGTGAGGCATGAAGAATATCTCTTTAGGAAGTGTTAGCTAATCCGGTTAATTGGTCAACAAAATTAGCCATTTTCGTCATCTAGATTGGATAACCTAGGAAGAATGTTAGAATGATTGATCATATTCGTTAGCCCTAATCATGTCACGAGTAGTGTCTATTTGTATTTCAATCAGTTTAACTCCCCTTTTAACCCTTGAATAAGGCATTACCAGTTTCTGGATTGATTCTACATTTTAGTCTGTTTTTATGCCTAATACTGTTTGTTATTCTTAAATTTTCCATTTTGTAGTTGTATAAGTTTTCCATAGGCTTCGATCATCTCCCCAATAAACCCAGAGCCTCATTTTCTCCTGCTAAGCAAAAGAAAATCAAGGAGGCCTGCAACTTCGTATGCAGTCCGCCACTGCAAATCAGTCTGGAAACTGGAAAATTCAAAGGTAAAACACACCAATATCTTTGATTTTGGTCTCTACTGCACAGTTTGACAGACAAATGATAAACCTAACACATGCATGCTCTGATTTCCTTGGTAGGTCATATTTTTCACTTTCTGGATGTGCAAAGTTTGGATAGTACACATCACCGGGCCAAACCTTTCTCAGGTAAGGAATTACATCGCGTTTGTTGAAAATATTTGCTTCATTTACTCTGATGTATGTGTATGCATGATGTATGTGTGTGATTTTAGATTGTAATGTATCACAAATTTGTGGCATGAAAATTGATATTTGTAGACTTACCCTTTATTTTTTGGCTGTGATGGGGGAAAGGAAAATAAAATTTCAAAGATTGATACTTTTATGTGATTTCTTGGCTCTTTTTTTTCATATGATTTTCACTGTATGTGTGCCAGTGTATGTCTCTTCTTGAAAAATGCATGTTGAAAATGGGAGAATTTTGGACATTGACATGTTTAGAAGTCAGGTTTTCTGAATGAAGATACTCTTATGATTTGTTTGTAATTTGTTTTGCAAATGGGTAGGAATGTCATTCTAAAAGGATATTGGCAGGAGGGGGTGAAATGTCATTCTAAAATATATGTAATTCAATTATCTCATTTTCTATAGCAGAATTGCAGATTTCTAAATCGAAAAGGAAAAATAAACACTATAGCAGCATGTAAAAGGGAAGCACAGGTAAAGGTTTCTGATGTCAGTTGGCTGTTTCTTTTTAGTGTTTTCAATTTGTTCCTTTTATTCTGTCTGCAATTTTTAATCTGTGGTTATGCATCAATTTCTCTGCTTCTTCTTTATAAATCTTGCAGGTCAGGACAACACACTTATCGGGGCAATGTTGGGATGTTTAGGCTTGGGTGGAGACATGGACTTTTGGAAGAGGTGAATTAGCTTAGCTCTCTGTCATTAGCTTTATCTGTTCTATGCATCTCTACAATCTTACAATGCTCCTTTATTAAATTGCAAGATGTTGGGACCCGTTACTGGAATACAAGATTTGGAACAAAAGTGGTTGACAATGCTAGAGTCGAAAGCAAGTGTGAAATTCACATTGAAAATGACAGGTGAGAATGCTAATCATATTCTAAAAAAATGTTGGGCTTCCTGATGAGATCTCTAGCCGAATTCAAGAGGCTAATTTAGTGATTTGGAGTTAATTTTGTGAATTTATTGACTGAAGTTATTTATTTTTAGCTTATCTTGCGTTTGCTTTGGTTTTAGGAGAGGGTTGCGCATGATCTGTAGGTTTAATCAACCTCGCTGTTTTCGTTAGAATCACAATTAAAGGTCAGTTTTTCCGACATTTTTTGTTCTTTTTGTTGCATGTTTATGTATGGTTGGTCTATGAGATTTTGTTTTTAGTCACTGTTGATTTGCAGTTTATGTCTCCCTTTAGCTACATATTGACACATGTTTATTCTCAGCATTTTTTTGTTAGGGTAAGTGGTTTGGTGGTTTGGTGAGTTCTATATTATTATATAATCTTTGGGGCTATTTTAAGTAAAAATGAAATGTTAACATTGATATAGCATACGGCACACTGAATTCACACTCCTGTATTCGGTCTTCATGTTTCCATTGCAACACTCTGCATTTCCTAACCAACGAATTTTTTGATAAAGACGTTAAAGCAATTACATGCTCTATCAAGTATGTTTTATATGTAGTTGTGGTAGTTGCAAGGAAATGAAATATTTGTGCTGATAATTGGTAGTTTAAATATATAGAAATAGAGAATAATTATAAATGGAGCACCTAGGATATTTAACATTGTTTTCTTTTCCATGTAATTTTTCTCATGTTTAACATCTGTTTTTGCTTATGGATTTGATTCAAGTGCTTTTTTTTATTAGTGTTAATTTTGGGTTGCATATCAACAAACTAACCCAGTTAAATTTTGCTTAGCGTTAACGTATAAGGAGAACTCCCATTGCATCAACTCGAACAGACATTCTTCTACTTAGTTGCTTAGCTGCTGAAACAGGAACGAAACACTTTTTATGTTTTTTTTTGTTTAACTGCTAAAACAGGTGACTGGCCTGCAGGACATATATTTTGCCATCTTAACTTCAAGGGTAGTATATGTGTAAAATGCATGTTGCTTAGGGAATCAGAGCATTTTTTGCAACCACATCTTTTGTAATCAGCTCGGTTGAATGTATACAAAAGTCAAGCTACTTATCTTACCTACACCATTCACTCCTCTATCCCTTTTGTTTGTTCATGATTTTGTTGAATTTTTTTCAGGTTAAATGTGTCTTATTCATGTAGTTAAGGTTGATGCATTCAAGTCCCGTAGCAACGCGCGGACATTTTGCTAGTCTATTCTATAGTTGGAGGGAAATTGGCCTGTTCATGGCTACAGTAAAACAAATGCCCCTCGATTTCACCTTATTTGCAAGAAACCCATCAGATTTGGGGTGGGTTGGAAGGGTAATTATTAGAACTTAGAAGGCTAATTTTGTCCCAAGGGAATGGAACGGATTGGCCCTTGATTTCACCTTATTTACAAGAAACCCATCAGATTTTGGCTGGGTTGGGAAGGTAATTCTTAAAAGTTAGGAGGGTAAGGTTTCAAAATATTTACGGTTTTACCAGGGTGCTACTTTCCGGAGTGGATTTCTTCCTCTCTCATTGACTTTCTCTCTCTTTTTATTTCGTCTTCTCTCCAAAACAAAAAAAACCCTAGCCGCTCAAGATTATCTCAACCCTAACCGTCCATCATCTTTCTCTCTTCACTCACCAATTCGATGAACTCCTCTCGCACTGGCCTTTTTTTTGCTGTCTACTGTTTCCGTCTTTGTCTCGGCGATCATCTGCTGCCGGTTTTGTTGCTGGAATAGTCTTCTGCTTCTACGAATGTCTTTGGTTCGAAACCCTTAGTTGGCTACAAGTTTTTGCCGTTTTCGATTTCATCGAAATTCATTTTTTTCCTCGCGTGATCACGCGATTAAATTAAGCATTAGTTGGTTCGAAACCCTTAGGTGGTTGTCTGAATTTTTTTTTCCCTGTGATTTTAGGGGTTATGTCTCTGTGCTACGATCTTGTGTGTGGTTGTCTAATTTGATTCGGTTTTTGCTTTCAGGAAACGATGCTCGCGAGGAATCACCGCCACCAACGGAACCTGTAGACTTGGACTATCAGATTCTCACTCAACCCGAGTGGTGCCGGTGCTGAGAAGCTCACCGAGAGCAGGCCCCGTACCGCCGCTGCCATCTCCACTGTTTGGGGAAAATCCATCGGAGAAGATAAGGACTCCATCTTCTCCAAATTATCACTGTTGATTTAATATTCTATTACTGTATCTTTAATAATTCCTGACCACTACATTCATTACTTAAATGTTATAAGTGTAATATATATACCCACTATCTTTATTACTGTATCTTTATTATTATGTTGACCTAAAACATCCCTCTCCCCAACGTGTTGGGCCGACCATGAGATGGGGTTGCATTCGGTGGGATCGACGGCTGTGTGGGATTTGGTGAGGGATGAGTTACGAGAGAGAGTAAGGGAGATAGGCGTGGGATGGCAGGGAGGGGAAGGGAGAGGGAGGATGAGGCTGCCAAAAGGGGGTTAGGGTTGATTTTTTTCCCTTCGAACGACTTGCTTTAGGAATATGTAATACTACCAATCATTGCAGTTCTTATCCTTTAAATTTTGCATTTTTTAAAAATATTTATTAATTTTTTGGTGATGCAGATGGATGAACATGTTCGAAGGGAAATCATGAACCATAGATCACCGAAGCATCCGAATATCATTCGATCCAAAGAGGTTAGTAATCATAAACTATTTTCATTTTGTATTTTTTTTGTAAATATTTATTTATTTTTGGTGATGCAGATGCAGATGGATGAACGTGTTCAAAGGGAAATCATAAACCATAAATCACTGAAGAATCCGAATATCATTCGATTCAAAGAGGTCAGTGATCACTATTCAATCCTTTTTCAGGTTTCAAACGATACTATTAAATGGTTTTCAACATTGGATTTAATAAACCTCTAATACAGGTTTAGAGTTTTGGTTTGGTTTTCATGTTTTCCACCATCACAGATTTTCCCTGATTCTTTCTATTTTTATTATACTAATAAATGAAATTGTTCCCTGGATTGCAGTTACTTTTCAGCATCCGACAACACTGATATAGCATTTGATGTACACTTAACTTTTGAAACCCAATCGGAATTATGTTCCGGTCAATATTGAGGATCCAGGTAGTTCTAGGTCTCTCTTCTCTCTTTCCCCCTCCCTATATGTAGTTTAATATAATTGAACAGCTCTATTTATTTAAGATTTAGTTGCGTTCGTCATTACTGAAATTTGTTGCAAGAAATTGGGGGATGAATTTGGTTTCGGGGGAATGTTATCCTTTTTTATTCTTATACTGCACAGAAAAAAAAGAAGCAATGCATTGGGTGCAAGTATGTGTTTTTTATCATTTATTTCTGTAGTTTGAAAGTCGATTGTGTTTTTGTTGCCGCATCATATAATTATTCAAAATGCCCTTTTTAGCATTTCAATACCATTTGCACGTCATTGTTAGCACTTTGAATACCTTATCCCCAATTTCAAGATCATGCAAAGCAATGTGACATTGCCTCTCTGTTTGTCTTAACATTGCCTCTCTGTTTTTGGTATCTTTGTTTATCTCTCTGACAGACGAGTGCATGGTTGTCACTTAATCACATTACGTGTTTCTTTATCAAACCGTATACGATATCTGATTCTTTCACGTATCAAACAATATAACGAACTTGAACCCAAAGAAGACAATAAATGTCAGGCAGCTATGTACAGGTGACATACAAGCATCTGTATTTCGTTCGAAAATCAGGTGAAATACAGGTGTTTTTATCTGCAAAAAATTCGGATATGGTGTCCTAATAACTTTCTCATGCTATTCTATTTGATTCTTTAATAAAAGTTTTGTAGTTTTTAGATTTGGTGGATCTTAGTAAATTAGGTAGTAAAAAGTACTCTTTTGCTTATTCTCAATGTAGTCAAATTTTCTCAAGACAATTTGAGCGGGGAAAAACAATGTCAAACATATGTCGTATAAATAAACGTTTCTTTTGGTTGTGAAGATACACTATGGAGTGTGCATATTTGAATTGTCAGTTTCCTCAAGTGTATTCAATCTCCCATTTCATTATATAGACCTCACGTGGTACTTAATTGTTCTCCACTAAGATCCATGCTTCAGTACAATCGAATGAAAAAAAAAAAAGAAAAAAAAAAAGACCATTGCAATGTTGGTATTTCGTGTATCTTATTTATAACTATGTTTTCTATTGCAAATTATTGCCACAACAATTTATATACGCGAGGTCCATGTAGCTATTATGCATGCATTATTTTCTTCTAAGTGAGGATACGGGAAGTTTTCCTCATTATGCTCCTATGCCCAGTTGATCGGGTGTATATGACTTGCAGTGAGCTCAGGGACACAGATTGGTTAGTTCATCCATGATGCTGAGCCCTATCTTGAATGGTATCTTGGCCGCCGCGTTTTAGATGCTTAGGTCTGTGATTGAAGTGTTATTTGTAGTTTTTTTTTTTTTTTTTTTTTTTTTCCAGAATTCATAATTCATAATATTTGCAACTATAAAAAACAATATACTTGTATACCTCTGTTTCTCTTTTCTTTGTTTTCATGAGAAATTAATTGTCATTGGCAGCACTATAAAAAACCATCTTTCTGCATTATTCTCTGCTTCATACATAATTACATGATTTTAGGTTTAATATCTAGCTTTTTAGTAGTAGATTACTTATATGGGTCTTTAACTACAATATCAAATTTCTTACTTTTTTCATGTTTTTACTTTTGACTTGCTGATATCTATTTTAGAATGTGGAATTATATCTAATATTTGTTTATTTCCTGACTGTCTTAATGCCTCACTGTCTGTAGATTTTAAATTTTGGTAAGAACCATGAAAATGATTGAAAAGCATGATGTTGTTTTCGAAATATATATTAGCATCCCCTTCTCACCCAACTGCCAAAATCAGGTGGCTTGACTTGAGGTGTTTTCAGATATTGTAATTGAATGAACAATTAGGTTACACTTTAACAAAAATGTGTAAAAAGGGTTTATAACTGCATTTTTAAGAGAGAAGTACTATTTTGTCCAACCCTTTTGAGTTCCCATATATTTTCATTGTTTCATTTATACATCTGTTGGAGGATTGGAGGGGATTGGGAGGCAGATGAGTGAGACTTCTGATGGTTACACAGAAATAAATGGTCTCTCACATCTTGAACCAGATTATTGTTGGTTTGGCAGGTATGAATGATTCTAGCCTTTTTTTAGAGGAACTATGCTTTCCATTTCAATCAGAATATTCTGTTATTAGAAGCAATTACATGGAGTTTGGCCAACTAAAATGGCTGGACAGAAAAAATGGTCCTAATTGTTCACTCTCTAATGATGTTGGCAAGTAACGTTGATTGTTCTAAACGCTGGCGGTGCTTCTGTTTTCCACAATGTAAGCCAAAGATTATGCGATGGTGCTCAATTTGGATTTGTTGCATAGCTAGAAGGATGATCTTGCAGTAATTGTTGAAGACCGTTATATGCCAAGGTATTGATTCTTTCGAATCCTAGTTAAAAAAAAAGTCAGATTTATATATATTTTGCATCATTATAATTAGTCTATTTGGGTTAGCTTAAGATTACAAAGAACAGCCTACTACATGGGGGAATAAATCTTTCTTATAGCATGCATATCCGTATATAGCAAACAAAGTTTCACTTGGTTCTTAGGCACTAGACCGTCTTTCCTTTAGCTTATAATTAGCTGCTCATGAATTCTTGGCATCTTATTTTATTCTTCTTATTGGGGTGTTTTACAGCACCGTAGATTTTTTCAACGAGCTTCCTCAGTTTGTTGTCAAGGCTGGTTCAATTTTAAGTAATATTTATGGTGTAGTTGGGAAAACAAACTTGAGGTATTAATTTTTCAGATATAGTTTATGCTTGAAATTAGCCCTGTTTTTATATCTTCCAACATTCTGTTTTCTTGGAGTTACTGTGTGCTTGAAAACTTGCTGAAACAACAATGGAACAGTTATTTTGTTTTTCGTTAACTGCTGAAACAGGTGCTAGGCCTACAGGTCATATATTTTGCTACCTTAACTGCAAGGGTAAAATATGTCTGGACTCATCTTGCTTTTGTTTCTTACGGAAATAGGCATCCTGCATTTTTTTTTCTTTGAACATTAGTGCTTGAAAGCTTAGCTGCTGAAACAAAATCATAACACTTTTAATGTTTTTTGTTAACTGCTGAAAGAGGCGGCTGGCCTACAGGACATATATTTTGCCATCTTAACTTCAGAGGCAATATATGTGTGAACTGCATGTTGTTTCTGTTTCTTATGGAAACAGAGAATTTTTTGCAATCACATCTTTTGTAATCAAGAACGTTCAACTTCGTCCTGTTAATTGTACAATGTCTTTTCATATCAGCTATGTTGAATGTATTCAAAAATCAAGATGCTTATCTTATCGACTATTTTCACTCATCTATCCTTCTATTCATTCATGATTATGTTTAATTTATTCGGGTTTAATGTGTCTTATTCATGCACTTAAGGCTGGTGCATTCAAGTCCCGCAGCAACGCGCGAGCATATTTTCTAGTAACAACTAATTCATCTGTTATGTGCTAAGGGGGTGTGTTATCCACACCCATTTTTAGTTTTCACACACCTCAATTTCAGCCATTGGATCAAATGACTTAAGAAGATCTAAGGACATAAATTAACAATTAGTGTGTGAATATTACCATCATACTGTAAAATATCTTTTTTAGTTTTCACACATTTCCTCAATTTCAGTCGTCAGATCAAATGGCTTGAAAAAGATCTAAGGACATAAATTAACAATGAGTGTGTGGATAACATCATTCTACTCTAAAATATCTTTTTTTGTTTTCACACACCTCAATGAGTGTGGATAACACCACCCTACTCTAAAATATATTTTTTAGTTTTCACACATTTCTTTAATTTCAGTCGTCAGATCAAATGACTTGAAGAAGATCTAAGGACATAAGTTAACAATGAGTGGATAGCACCACTCTACTCTAAAATATCTTTTTTTTTTGTTTTCACACCTTCTGAATGAGTGTGGATATCATCACCCTACTCTAAAATATTTTTTTCGGTCCATTCCAAACATCACATCACTCTTTCATCTCTTTCAGCTACCCTATGCAGAAATAGAAAATGAGAGAGTAGGATTCTCTTCCCTCTCTTTATCCCTTCCTCTCCTTCCCAGCTATTTGAACAGTCATGGTTAAGTTAACATCTTATATTAATTTTTTTTAAAGAAATAGAAAGACAAAATAGAGAATATGAGATGAGGGGATGGAAAGTGATGAGAAGAGGAGGGGAGAGAATCTTAGTCCGAAAATGAGGGCACTCCACTTTGGTCCGTGGTTAGCATCAGACAGCTCTTCTAGAGGTTGACGGGAGCTAAAGCATGCGGTGCCTCACCTGCTGCTGAAGAACCAAATATCAAGGTGGAGTACAACATTTTCCCGTCCCACCCCAAACACGTCATCTGATTTTGCTTCCACCCAGAGGATGAACAGAGAGCTAGGAAAATGATGGCTACTAACCCCACCGGGATTATGGATTAGTTTTCCCATGTCAATATCCTCACCGCCAGTGCATATCTCGTCTGGAAATCCAATCGAGCACTATTCAAGGCTAAGGAGAGTGATCTGAAAGAAGTTTTGAAAGGTGAAATTTGTTGCTTTAGTCCGTAGACTCAGAAGCACCTTGCTTCCCTGGTTTGCCAGTCCGGTAAAAACACAGTTCGTATTAAGTATTTGAAACTGGTCATAAACCATTTCTTGAAACATGGACTCCCAAAGGGCAACTGCAACTGCAATTCACATTTGAGAGGAGGAGGGGGAGACCTCTTTTGGAGTCCATGTTTTGCGAAACAGTTTGTGACCAATCCAGGTACTTAATACGAGCTGTGTTCTCACCGGACTGGCAAACCAAGGAAGCAAAGTGCTTTTGGGTCTGCGGGCTAAAGCAACAGGTTTCACCCTTCAAAACTTTTTTCAGACCACTTTCCTTAGCTTTAAATATTGTTCGGCCGGATTTCCAGACGAGATCTGCACTGTCGGCGATGATGTTGACGTGGGAAGACAATCCATAATCCAGGGGGATAGCAGCCATCATTTTCCTGGCTCTATTCATCATCTGGGTGGATGCAAAATCGGATGACGTGTTTGGGGTGGGACGGGGAAATGTTGTACTCCACCTTGACATTTGGTTCTTCGACAGCAGCTGAGGCATCGCCTGCTCTAGCTCCCTTCAACCTCTTGAAGAGTCGTTTGATGCTGCCCGCGGATTGGAATGCCCTCATTTTCGGACAAAATAGAGAATATGAGATGAGGGGATGGAAAAGGATGAAAAGAGGAGGGGAGAGAATCTTAGTCCGAAAATGAGGGCACTCTGGTCCGTGGTTAGCATCAGACAGCTCTTCAAGAGGTTGACGGGAGTTAAAGCATACGGTGCCTCACCTGCTGCTGAAGAACCAAATATCAAGGTGGAGTACAACATTTTCCTGTCCCACCCCAAACACGTCATCTGATTTTGCTTCCACCCAGAGGATGAACAGAGAGCCAGGAAAATGATGGCTACTAACCCCACCGGGATTATGGATTAGTTTTCCCATGTCAATATCCTCACCGCCAGTGCATATCTCGTCTGGAAATCCAATCGAACACTATTCAAGGCTAAGGAGAGTGGTCTGAAAGAAGTTTTGAAGGGTGAAGTTTGTTGCTTCAGCCCATAGACTCAGAAGCACCTTGCTTCCTGGTTTGCCAGTCCAGTAAAAACACAGCTCGTATTAAGTATTTGAAACTGGTCATAAACCATTTCTTGAAACATGGACTCCCAAAGGGCAACTGCAACTGCAATTCACATTTGAGAGGAGGAGAGGGAGACCTCCTTTGGAGTCCATGTTTTGCGAAACGGTTTGTGACCAATCCGGGTACTTAATACGAGCTGTGTTCTCACCGGACTGGCGAACCAAGGAAGCAAATTGCTTCTGAGTCTGCGGGCTCAAGCAACAGGTTTCACCCTTCAAAACTTTTTTCAGACCACTTTCCTTAGCCTTAAATATTGTTCGGCCGGATTTCCAGATGAGATCTGCACTGTCGGCGATGATGTTGACGTGGGAAAGACAATCCATAATCCAGGGGAATAGCAGCCATCATTTTCCTGGCTCTCTATTCATCATCTGGGTGGATGCAAAATCGGATGACGTGTTTGGGGTGGGACGGGGAAATGTTGTACTTCACCTTTACATTTGGTTCTTCGACAGCAGCTGAGGCATCGCCTGCTCTAGCTCCATTCAACCTCTTGAAGAGTCTGATGCTGCCTGCGGATTGGAATGCCCTCATTTTCGGACAAAATAGAGAATATGAGATGAGGGGATGGAAAGGGATGAAAAGAGGAGAGGAGAGAATCTTAGTCCGAAAATGAGGGCACTCTGGTCCGTGGTTAGCATCAGACAGCTCTTCAAGAGGTTGACGGGAGCTAAAGCATACGGTGCCTCACCTGCTGCTGAAGAACCAAATATCAAGGTGGAGTACAACATTTTCCCGTCCCACCCCAAACACGTCATCTGATTGTGCTTCCACCTAGAGGATGAACAGAGAGCCAGGAAAATGATGGCTACTAACCCCACCGGGATTATGGATTAGTTTTCCCATGTCAATATCCTCACCGCCAGTGCATATCTCGTCTGGAAATCCAATCGAACACTATTCAAGGCTAAGGAGAGTGGTCTGAAAGAAGTTTTGAAGGGTGAAGTTTGTTGCTTCAGCCCATAGACTCAGAAGCACCTTGCTTCCTGGTTTGCCAGTCCAGTAAAAACACAGCTCGTATTAAGTATTTGAAACTGGTCATAAACCATTTCTTGAAACATGGACTCCCAAAGGGCAACTGCAACTGCAATTCACATTTGAGAGGAGGAGAGGGAGACCTCCTTTGGAGTCCATGTTTTGCGAAACGGTTTGTGACCAATCCAGGTACTTAATACGAGCTGTGTTCTCACCGGACTGGCGAACCAAGGAAGCAAATTGCTTCTGAGTCTGCGGGCTCAAGCAACAGGTTTCACCCTTAAAAACTTTTTTCAGACCACTTTCCTTAGCCTTAAATATTGTTCGGCCGGATTTCCAGATGAGATCTGCACTGTCGGCGATGATGTTGACGTGGGAAAGACAATCCATAATCCAGGGGAATAGCAGCCATCATTTTCCTGGCTCTCTATTCATCATCTGGGTGGATGCAAAATCGGATGACGTGTTTGGGGTGGGACGGGGAAATGTTGTACTTCACCTTTACATTTGGTTCTTCGACAGCAGCTGAGGCATCGCCTGCTCTAGCTCCATTCAACCTCTTGAAGAGTCTGATGCTGCCCGCGGATTGGAATGCCCTCATTTTCGGACAAAATAGAGAATATGAGATGAGGGGATGGAAAGGGATGAAAAGAGGAGAGGAGAGAATCTTAGTCTGAAAATGAGGGCACTCTGGTCCGTGGTTAGCATCAGACAGCTCTTCAAGAGGTTGACGGGAGCTAAAGCATGCGATGCCTCACCTGCTGTTGAAGAACCAAATATCAAGGTGGAGTACAACATTTTCCCGTCCCACCCCAAACACGTCATCTGATTGTGCTTCCACCCAGAGGATGAACAGAGAGCCAGGAAAATGATGGCTACTAACCCCACCGGGATTATGGATTAGTTTTCGCATGTTAATATCCTCACCGCCAGTGCATATCTCGTCTGGAAATCCAATCGAGCACTATTCACGGCTAAGGAGAGTGGTCTGAAAGAAGTTTTGAAAGGTGAAATTTGTTGCTTCAGCCCGTAGACTCAGAAGCACCTTGCTTCCCTGGTTTGCCAGTCCGGTAAAAACACAGCTCGTATTAAGTATTTGAAACTGGTCATAAACCATTTCTTGAAACATTGACTCCCAAAGGGCAACTGCAACTGCAATTCACATTTGAGAGGAGGGGGAGACCTCTTTTGGAGTCCATGTTTTGCGAAACGGTTTGTGACCAATCCTGGTACTTAATACGAGCTGTGTTCTCACCGGACTGGCGAACCAAGAAAGCAAAGTGCTTTTGAGTCTGCGGGCTAAAGCAACAGGTTTCACCCTTCAAAACTTTTTTCAGACCACTTTCCTTAGCCTTAAATATTGTTCGGCCGGATTTCCAGATGAGATCTGCACTGTTGGCGATGATGTTGAAGTGGGAAAGACAATCCATAATCCAGGGGGATAGCAGCCATCAATTTCTTGGCTCTCTATTCATCATCTGGGTGGATGCAAAATCGGATGACGTGTTTGGGGTGGGACGGGGAAATGTTGTACTCCACCTTGACATTTGGTTCTTCGACAGCAGCTGAGGCATCGCCTGCTCTAGTTCCCTTCAACCTCTTGAAGAGTCGTCTGATGCTGCCCGCAGATTGGAATGCCCTCATTTCAGACAAAATAGAGAATATGAGATGAGGGGATGGAAAAGGATGAAAAGAGGAGAGGAGAGAATCTTAGTCCGAAAATGAGGGCACTCTGGTCCGTGGTTAGCATCAGACAGCTCTTCAAGAGGTTGACGGGAGCTAAAGCATGCGGTGCCTCACCTGCTGCTGAAGAACCAAATATCAAGGTGGAGTACAACATTTTCCCGTCCCACCCCAAACATGTCATCTGATTTTTCTTCCACCCTGTGGATGAACAGAGAGCCAGGAAAATGATGGCTACTAACCCCATCGGGATTATGGATTAGTTTTCCCATGTCAATATCCTCACCGCCAGTGCATATCTCGTCTGGAAATCCAATCGAGCACTATTCAAGGCTAAGGAGAGTGGTCTGAAAGAAGTTTTGAAGGGTGAAATTTGTTGCTTCAGCCCGTAGACTCAGAAGCACCTTGCTTCCTTGGTTTGCCAGTCCGGTAAAAACACAGCTCGTATTAAGTATTTGAAACTGGTCATAAACCATTTCTTGAAACATGGACTCCCAAAGGGCAACTGCAACTGCAATTCACATTTGAGAAGAGGAGGGGGAGACCTCTTTTGGAGTCCATGTTTTGCGAAACGGTTTGTGACCAATCCAGGTACTTAATACGAGCTGTGTTCTCACCGGACTGGCGAACCAAGGAAGCAAAGTGCTTTTGGGTCTGCTGGCTAAAGCAACAGGTTTCACCCTTCAAAACTTTTTTCAGACTACTTTCCTTAGCCTTAAATATTGTTCGGCCGGATTTCTAGATGATATCTGCACTGTGGGCGATGATGTTGACGTGGGAAAGACAATCCATAATCCAGGGGGATAGCAGCCATCATTTTCCTGGCTCTCTATTCATCATCTGGGTGGATGCAAAATCGGATGACTTGTTTGGGGTGGGACGGGGAAATGTTGTACTCCACCTTGACATTTGGTTCTTCGACAGCAGCTGAGGCATCGCCTGCTCTAGCTCCCTTCAACCTCTTGAAGAGTCGTCTGATGCTGCCCGCGGATTGGAATACTCTCATTTTCGAACTAAGATTCTTTCCCCTCTTCTTTCCATTCCCTCATCTTATGTTCTCTATTTAGTCTTTCTCTTTCTATACAGTTAATATAAGATGTTGACGTGATTTAATCGTGACCGTTCAAATATGAGAGGAGGGAAAGGGAGGGAAGAAAAAATCCTACTCCCTCTTTTTTTATTTCTGCGTAGGGCAACCGGGAGAGAGGAGGGAGTTATGTGACGTTTGGAATGGACTGAAAAAGATATTTTAGAGTAGGGTGGTGCTATCCACACACTCATTGTTAATTTCTGTTCTTAGATTTTCTTCAAGTCATTTGATCCAACGGCTGAAATTGAGGAGGCATGTGAAAACTAAAAAAGACATTTTAGAGTAGGGTGGTGCTATCCACACTCATTGTTAATTTTTTTCAAGTCATTTGATCCAACGGCTGAAATTGTGGAGGTGTGAGAAAACTAAAAAAGATATTTTAGAGTAGGATGGTGTTATCCACACACTCATTTAGGATGTGTGTGAAAACTAAAAAAGATATTTTAGAGTAGGATGGTGCTATTCACACTCATTGTTAATTTCTATTTTTCGATATTCTTTAAGTCATTTGATCTGACGGCTGAAATTGAAGAGTTGTGTGAAAACTAAAAAATATATTTTAGGGTGGTGCTATCTACACACTCATTATTAATTTCTGTTCTTAGATCTTAAAGGCATTTGAACCGACGGCTGAAATTGAAGAAATGAGTGAAAACTAAAAAAGATATTTTAGAGTAGCGTGGTGCTATCCACACTCATTGTTAATTTATGTCCTTAGATTTTCTTCAACTCATTTGATCCGATGGCCGAAATTGAGGTGTGGGAAAACTAAAAAAGATATTTTACAGTAGGGTGGTGCTATCCACACTCATTGTTAATTTCTGTCCTTAGACCTTCTTTAAATCATTTGATCCGATGGTTGAAATTGAAGAGGTGCGTGAAAACTAAAAATGGGTGTGAATAGCACACCCGTTTAGAGCATACCAGGCAGATTAGTTGTTATTTGAGATCATACGGCCATAGAAAATAGAATATGTTTGTGGCTAACTTGTTGGAGTTCATCCAAGTTATAGCGGCAGGCTGGCTTGAGGAGAGTTGGGTTTGAGTCGTTTGACTCAATAGCCTTTTTACCATTTCAGGCTTTGGTTCATCCATGGTATCTAACTCATCTAAAATGTTGCTTCAACCTTTAGAAAAGTAATGCCTCATATTCGTAGGCTGCTTAGCAGTCAAGGTGAATAAAAGGGAAAACCAATGTGTACAAGCAAGAGCTGAGGCAGCTGTGCTTCTTAAGCAATTTGATTTCCCAGTTTGCACGGCACTTGTTTAAGTTTGCCGTTCAGATTACATATTATCTTGTTGACACATCACGGCTTTAACCGAAGAAAACGTATTCAATCTTGTATTGTTACTGTTGAGTTGCGTGAGCAAAACTCAAAGGAAATTAGTAGACATTTCAAAAATAGGTTATCCTGTTATTTTTCTTATCCAGGCCCTAATGTATTTTTGTAATTGTGAAGGCATAAATGTGAACTGTTTTTTGTTCACAAGTGGAATCTCAACAAAGCAAATGCATTGAAAAGGAAATTCCAATAATTCCTTTTAGAAGTGCCTTGTAATACATTGATGTGCATCTGATAACATGTTGCCCGTATTTTGGCAGGTTGACAGCATAAAGGTGAAGCTGATTGAGAAGTTGGAACAACCTGTTGCTGGCTTTCTAGTGGCACGGTTCCTGCGACTGCACACGAAGTATACATCTTAAGATTTCTGGGGAGTGATTATTCACACCATTAAAGATACTAGAACAAAGTGTAAGAGAAAGTTGGAACACCCTTGTGCTTCATGGTTGCTCTCTGCTTTGTTACATATACCCTCCCTCTTTCTCTTTTATGTCTATAACTCATAACTGCGCTGATGAAGACTAACTTATTTGCACTCAGTTTAGACTTCTGTTGGTGAGTTTGCGGAGGCTGTCCTTGCTTATCGGGTAATATTTCCTGATTCGGATACGCAACTAACCAAGCTTGCACAAGACCTGGTTACCTGGTAGGGGAGTTTGTTAATTTAAAACACTTTGTTGTACGGTAGCAGTTTGCTCACGAAATGTAATTAATTGCTGTTTGTTTAAGCACTTGGAAAACCACTGAGCAATACACAAAGACCTAAATTTGGTCAGCAGATGTACTACGAGCTCTTCATATCCTCTGGTTCAAGCAATAACTAGTTCCTTGTGTGGTGGTGGCCTTAGAGGCTATGAATATGGACCTGCGTTTGTTCCTCAAGTAGCCAACTAATGAACTAGTTATTGCTTGAACCAGCATGGGTCTGGTAGAGGAACAACACCATCTGACTGTTGTCGCAAATTGCAGGAGTCGGTAGTAACGACGACCTTGGTAAAACTTTGCCTTAAAAGCTTGCAAGAATTTGCTCAATTGCTCATCATACACCCCTCTTTTCTTTCTCAACGCCATTATCCATTACTCATTAGTGAACCCAAAGTGTGTACGACCTCATAAATAAACAACCAAGGCCAAATGCCTGTTTCCCTTTAAGCAAAAAAGTTGAAATTTTTACCAAGTTGATTTTACGCAGGTAATGCATTCTTCTCCTAATGCTCATTGTTTCATAAAAATATGATAATACTCAAGAAATGAAACACGACTCGAAGAATAAATGATATTTTCAAGTTAAATTATGAGTAAAGTTCATAGATAGATCCCAACAAAACCTTAATCCAAAGCAAATTGGTCCTATAGTAAATCCTTTTTGCATGTGGATTTACTACTTTGAGCAACAAAGCTAACTACACGCCAAAATCACACCCATTTATTCTTCATCCTTATTCAATCCTGAGCCCAACTTGTGCAAGTTGAATCATTCTTGGACCAACCATTCTCAACATCCACCTCAATGCCACAATCTTTCCATAGGCAACCTCGGAAAAGCTTGAACTCCGGGTCATCAGGCCTGCCAAAAAGGCTCAGCTGCCATTTAAAGAGAGAGATGCAACACTTGTCAATGTTTATGTAGAGACGGATGATCTAGCATTTGTTTTCCATTCCAAGGATTGACAACACCAACACAACAACCGCCGGAAGCAGCCACTGGCATTGCTCATCAGAAATGCCACGACCAATTGCACTTGCACGAAAATTTGAATGATTAAAAACTGTAGAACCTCCGTTTGGATATCTCACTGCAACCTCGTCACAGGCACTAGGACCTAACTCATAGAAATATTATATGTTATTAGCTAGTTACAATAATTACGTATTAGATAGCGAGAAAATTATTATTATTCTAGGCATTGAAGCCCCAACAAGAAGCACAAGCAGAGTACAAAACTAAATTACAAGGGCGCTGTTTATACTTACTCCTTTTGTCAGATAAAGCAGAGTACGTGGACTGGGGTACTGCAAATTAAGAAGAAAAAACATAAATGACTATAAAAAAAGATTGAAAGGCTGTTTCATATTTGATCAAACAAATCATCTCACAGATTGACATATTATTTAAACAATCAAATTCCCAGCATAATTACACACCAGTGGAAATGGAACTCGAACGTGAACGGGAACTAGAAGAACTAGAACGAGCCATAATTCTGGTTCGAGAATTCCACAAGCCGTCCCAACTAAAAGTTTACAAATTGAAGTTTAGTTCCTTCGAGATAAGACAAAGGCTTACATACTGAAACAAAACGAGAATATAAATGGAAACAGAAAACTGTTCCAAACGATTCAATCCCGCCACAAAGACATGACAGAATTAGATGCTAACCCTTAAATCTCAAAACTGATCGCAAGGACCGACAATTACAATAGATATCAAACTCGCATCGCATGCTAACAATTTTAGTTAAAAACAATTTGGGGTACTCCGCGTGATCATCAGACTACTGATGTAGGATTCCAGATATATCCCAAAACGTGTATGACAAGAAAATCATAGCCCTCCGCTCAATTGGATTACTATGGAGTCCAAACTGATGAACGAAAGCTAACTTTAAGCGAGCATAAGACACAACAAGCTGCACAATCCAAAGTGAATACAAAAGATCGATCTCACTGAGGCTGAATTTAAATACCCGCAGAGAGAGAATGAGTGAGGTTTCAGCTTTGGAGTTTTCCGCGGACTTTGAACACAAACCCTAAAGTGAAAGGGGAAAAGGTGTAGCCTCGGATTTTAAAGATAGTAGACTTTGTTTCATGGGCCCGCTAAATTTTTCAGTTTAAATTCTAACTACGAAATCTACAAGGAGATAATTAGGTCATATCGCATAGCACAGATAATCATTTTTTGTAACAAAGGATATCATCTACGTCAAAGACATGTGTGAATGGGTTAAGTCTCACATTCAGTTAGTCATAATCATATGAGCTAGTAAGAATTATGGTGGTGCTTGATGAGTCGATTTCATATTATACATTTTACCTATTATTAGTAATGGATTGTGTTAATTATAGTTTAAATGTAAAACATGCAACTTCCTCTTAAACAAAAAGTGATCAAACTGACGAGTTTTGAAGTGATTCTAATTGGAGGATGTTTGCAAGTCTTTCAACTTGTTTGTGTCAAAGTTTTGGACTTTTATGCCAAGCGGTTAATTTATGAAGAATAAATAAAAGATCAGTGCGCAAAACTGTCAAAGTAATGTTTTAGGCTTATTTGACCTTTTTGGCGTTCAAGATGGCATTTTGTGGAGATGTGTCCTTATGCAAAGATATTCAGGTGACTCAAGCTTTAAAAGAAAATCTTTTGGGCCATTTTTGGATCTAGTTTGGCCCATGAACGTGGCAGATTTGTGGTTGGGCAGATTCTCTAGCTTTTGGTAGGGGATTTTTAGCTGAATTTGAATCTAATAAACTTCGTCTTTTTCCTTACGCTCTGAAGGAAA